CTCTATGTAAGATCATTCATACTAGAGAAAACCCCTGCACTTACAATGTGGCAAAACTTTTAATTAATGTTCACACTTCATTGCACAGGAAAGCATTTATACTTCAGAAAAATTGTACAAATATAAAGAATGTGGAAAAGCCATTGCTATCTATTCAAATCTTACTCAAAATCAGAGAGTTCATACTTAAAGCATTATAAATCTAATTACTGTAAAAAAAACTTTCAGAAAATATAAGCCTTTAAAGTGAATATGAGTTTTTATTCTGAAGAAAAACACTGTGACCATAAAGGGGATTGTAGTACCTTTACTTGTATTACAAACCTTACTGCACACATTTTATACTAGAGGAAAACACCAAAGCAGCTGCTCAAACCTTGTTGAACATCAGAGAATTTATGTTGGAAAGAAACCCTACAAATGTAATGAATGTGCAAACACATTTGTTTAAAAACTCCAGCTTGGGCCAGGCACAGTGGTTTATGCCTGTAATCCCAGCACTTTGGAAAGCCAAGGCAGGCAAATTGTTTGAGATCAGGAGTTCTAGAGCAGCCTGGCCAACATGGTGAAACCCCATCTCTATTAAAAATTCAAAAAAAATTAGCCAGGTGTGGTGGCAGGCACCTGTAATCCCAGCTACTGGGAGGCTGAGGCAGGAGAATTGCTTGAACCCAGGAGGTGGAGGTTGCAGTGAGCCGAGATCGTGCCACTGCACTCCAGCCTGGGTGACTGAGTGAGACTCCATCTAAAAAAAAAAAAAAAAAAAAAAAAACAACAAAACAAAACTCCAGCTTGGGCAACACCAGAGAGTTCATACTAAAAGAACTCACATTTGCAGACGCAGCAAACGTGAAAAAATAATCAAACATTGTCTATATAAACATGAGAGGATTCACAGTAAGAACTAAGGTGCTGACACTTCATATATTACACTAAATCAGAGTGTTGAGTACAGAAAATAATTCAAAGCTAAAACTGTCAGATAATTTATTTGTATATAACTTTAAAAGAAACACAAGATGTTTTTGAAGTGTTATTATTACAAAGTATTTGTTTTCCCTTGAAAAAATTATAGTTTTTTGAAAGCAAATGTAATTTAACTCTCAAATTACTTCATGCTGTTCCTTCATTCCCACTGTTTATGTGAAAGCATGTGATCCATTATTGTTGCATCAGATCTATGAGAGATTCTTTTTCATTAGGTGGGCATTATTTATGACCTTTTCCATGGAAAAGTAAGGGCATTGAAATGTAATGGTGAAACCCTATCTCTACTAAAAATACAAAAAAATTAGCCAGACATGGTGGTGCATGCCTGTAGTCCCAGGTACTCAGGAGGCTGAGGCAGGAGGATTGCTTAAACTAAGCAGGCAGAGGTTGCAGTGAGCCAAGATTGCACCATTGCACTCCAGCCTGGGTGATAGTGTGAGTCTCCGTCTCAAAAAAAAAAAAGGTACACAATGAAAATCTAAGTGGAGAGGCTCTTTGTGGTTGACCTATAACTTTATCTGAGTGAAGCAAAAGGTAGGTGTTCAGAGTAATATTCTACATGATAGTGAGAGGAAAACATTTTTAATTTTAGTAGTAAATCATTTTACCAATTGTACTTTTATGTAATAAAATGCAGTATATTTTGAAATGCTGTCTTAAGATTACAGGTGAACTTAATTTTTTAAACAAAACTGTTTTTAAAACTAATAATAACTAATGGGTACTAGGCTTAATATATAGATGATGAAATAATCTGCACAATAAACCCCCATGGCTCACGTTTACCTATGGAATGAACTTGCACATGAACCCCTGAAATTAAGAGAAAAAGAAAAAAAAACGATTAATAGGCTGAATAAAGAAAATATGGAATACTATGCAGCCATAAAAAGGAAATCATGTCCTTTGCAGGGACATGGATGGAGCTGGAAGCCATTATCCTCAGCCAACTAACACAGGAACAGAAAACCAAATGCCACATGTCCTCACTTACAAGTGAGAGCTGAATGAGAACAGACGGACACATGGGAGGGGGAACAACACACACTGAGGCCTGTCGGGGATGGAGGGTTGAGGGAGGGAAAGCATCAGGAGGAATAGCGAATGGATGCTGGGCTTAATACCAAGGTGATGGGTTGATCTGTGCACAAACCACCGTAGCACACAGTTACCTATGCAACAAACCTGCACATCCTGCACATGCACCCTAGAACTTAGAGTAAAAGTTGAAGAAAAAAAGAAAGAAAAACCAAACAACCATCAATAAGGACCAGTTAAGTAAATATTCCTACAGCTACACACACAGAGACATTAGAGAGAGTGAGTTGAATTTACACGAGCAGCACGATGCTGTTGAGATTCACGCATGCTGCAGCAGGTGTGAGTTACTCTATTATACAGAGGCAACACTTATAAGTAAGAACATATGGTGTTTGGTTTTCTGCCCCTGTGTTAGTTTGCTGAGGATAATGGCTTCCAGCTCCATCCTTGTCCCTGCAAAGGACATGATATCATTCCTTTTCATGGCTGCATAGTATTCCACACTTCTTTGCTTAACCAACATTGTTCTTTTTCAATATTACTTTGGCTTTTCCATATAAATTTTAGGATCACTTCATCAATGGATTTCAAAAAACATATTTTGAGAGGGATTGTGTTTCATCTGTAGATGGATTTGGTGAAGATGCCACCTTAAGATTGCAGATATTTTGCAACCCACAAACATGGAACTTTTTTCATGTACTTAAATCTCCCTCAATCTTCCTTACCAATGTTTTTTAGTCTAACATTTTTGTTCAAGTTATTCCTAAGTATTTTTATGCTATGATGAATGGAATTACTTTCTTAATTTCATTTTCAGATAGTTCACTTGTAATACATAGAAATTCCATTGATTCTTGCACATGAACCTTGTATCTTGCAAATTTGCTAAACATATTTATTAATTCTAATGGTTTTGTGGCCCAGGCATGGTGGCTCATTCCTGTAACTCCCGAAATTTGGGAGGCTGAGGCAGGCGGATCACTTGAGGCAAGGAATTCAAGACCAGCCTGAGCAATATGGTGAAACTCCATCTCTACTAAAAGTACCAAAAAAATACAAAAAATAGCCAGGAGTGGTGGCACATGCCTGCAGTCCCAGTTATTTGGGACACTGAGGCACAAGAATCACTCGAAGCCACTGAGGCAGAGGTGGAAGTGAGCTGGATTGTGCCACTGCACCACTGCACTCCAGCGTGGGTGACAGACAGATTAGAAAAAATTCTAATAGTTTTGTAAGTACAGGCATTTCTCATTTTATTGTGCTTTGCTTTATGCTTCACAGATATTTTATTTTTTACAGATTGAAGGTTTGTGACAACTGCGCATCTGGGAAATCAACTGGTGCTATTTTTCCAACAGCAGGTGTTCACTTTGTCAGTATTTTTTAGCAATAAAGTATTTTTAATTAAAGCATGTACTTTTTTTACATGTAATGCTATTGTAAACTTAATAGGCTGAAGCATAATCTAAACATAATTTTTACAGGCCCTGGGAAACCAAAAAATGTGTGTGACTCACTTTCTTGCAATATTCATTTTATTGTGATGGTTTAGAACCAAACTTAGGATTTTCTACATATATTGAATAAATGTGATGAGAGTGGCCATCGTTTCGTTGCTAGATCTGGTCTCTTATCATTAAATATGTTACAGATTTTTTTACAAGTGCCCTTTTTGAGATTGAGGAAACTCCCTTTGATTGAGTTTCAGATAATTTTATCATGAATGGCAGATTTTGTCAAATGCTTTTTCCAGAGGTATTGAGATCATATGATTTTTGTCCTTTATTAACATGATATATTTCTGTATTACTTTTTTTTTTGAGAGGAAGTCTCACTCTGTCGCCTTTGCTGGAGTACAGAGGTGCAATCTCGGCTCACTGAAACCTCCACCTCCTGGGTTCAAGCCATTCTCATGCCTCAGCCTCCTGAGTAGCTGGGATTACAGCCATGCACTACCACTCCCGGCTAATTTTGTTTGTTTGTTTATTTCACCTTTTTGTCCAGGCTGGTCTGAAACTCCTGACCTCAAGTGATCCACGTGCCTCCACCTCCCAAAGGGATAAGAGGCACCACTTAGCCTTGGTATATCACATCAATTGATTTTGGGGTGTTACATCAAACTTGCATTTCTGGGATAAATCTAAGTCATTGTGTATGATCCTTTTTATGTACATGCTGGATTCGGTTTGCTGACATTTTTCTGAGGATTTTTACATGTATGTCTATAAGAGATAATAGTCTTGTTTTCTTTTTGTGGGTTTTTTTTTTTTTTGAGATATCTTGGCTTTGGTATCAAGGTAATACTGGCCTCACAGAATGAGTTGGGAAGCATTTCTTCCTCTATTTTCAGAAAGACTTTGTGAAAGATTGGTAATTTTTCTTCTTCAAAGGCATGGTAGAATTCTCAAGCAAGGCCATCTGGGCATGAGCTTTTCTTCGTGAAAATATTTGTATTTACTGATTCAATTTAGATTTTCTAGTTTTTCTTGAGCCAGTTTTGTAATTTGTGTCTTTCTGGGAACTTACCCGATTCATCTCAGTTGTCTAATTTGTTTGCATAAAGTTCTTCCCAGCATTCCCTTTTATGTCTGTAAGACTGACAGTGAGCCCTCTCATACAGTCCCAGTTTTGGCAACCTGAATACTCTCTCTTTTACTTGGCCAGTATAGCTAAAGGTTTCTCAGTTTTATCTTTCTGAAATACTATCTTTTGGCTTCATTCGTTTTCTATATCGATTTCTGTTTTCTACTTCATTGATTTCTGCTCCAGTTATCATTTTCTTCCTTCTGTTTGTTTTGGTTTTAGTTTGCTTTGTTTCCCTAGTTTCTTAAGGTCGGAGCTTAGATTATCGATTTGAGATACATTTTCCTTTCTAATATAGGCATTTGCAGCTACAAATTTTCCTCTAAGCCCTTCAGAGCATCTCATAAAATTTGATATGTTCTGTTTTCATTTTTTTTTTAATTTGTATGTTCTTTATTGTCCTAACATTGCATAGTACTTTGATTGTGCACACTTTTAAATAGAGAGCAGAGTTGCCCACTTGAAACTACTCTCTTGCATGGGATATTTCAAGCTGTTTTATTATGGGCAAGGAACAGGGACCAAAATGCTGCCTGGACTTAAAAGGAGCCAGGATCAGATTAAACAGAAGTTGGAGAGTTGGAGAGATCTGGGCCACACACAAGAAGAAAATGTTGCAGAGGCTGAGATTTCAACTTGACTTATAAGAGGCATAGGTGGATGGCTGGAGGGGCTTCGTGGATGTCAGGGAACAAGATTCAGGAGCAGCCTAGAGAGGAAAGTAAAGGAGAGAGGCGTCCAGAGGGCCAATGCGTTGTGCTCAAATCTGAGATGAATGCCACCTGCCAGGAGCAAGCCTGGAGATAGCACATGGGTAGCTGGGATGAACAGTTTGGCCATTACCATGGCTACAGAAAGCCACATACTAGAAAAATAACTTAAAAGCTATACAATCATCATTATAAATATCTTGTGTTTTAAAACTAACTCTAGTGTTGGTTATAAAAGGTTCACAGTTACTCTGAAGAGAGCTGTATCTCTATTGCACGATAGTGGAGAAGTCTGCTCTGATCCCCATGTGTAAACAATGATTCCCTTCTCCTCTGGCGACTTCAGGACACAGAGAAACAGTATCTGCTGTAAGCAAAAGCACTTGGGTAGAAGGCACATGGAAGCTGTCAAACTCTACAGGAACACGCAGAACATGTTGGATGCCCACTTCTCTTCCCATCACTGCTGTTGGGACAGGTCTGGAATCAGATTAAAGGTGGTGACGGTCCTGTGACAGTCTCATCCTTATTCCACAGTTACAGACTTGGCCAGATTTCTGGGAAAGTCAACGTCATATCCTCGGAGGACAGCCAGGTGGAAGGATAGAAGCTGCAGCGGAATCACGCTCAGGATGCCCTGGAGGCAGTCCACAGTGTGGGGCAGCTCAATCGTCTTATACGCAAACTTGGAACTTTCAGTATCATCCTTGGAGCACAATATAATGGGGCGACCCTGGCGGGTCGTGACCTGCTGCAGGGCATTCTGGCATTTGGCAAAGCAAGGATCCTTCATGATGACCATGATGACGGGCATCTGCTTGTCAATCAATGCCAGGGGCCCGTGCTTCAGCTCCCCAGCCAGGATGCCTTCTGAGTGCATGTAGGTTATCTCTTTAATTTTCAGGGCTCCTTCCAGGCAGGTGGCATAGTTGTAGCCCCGCCCCATCACCAGGAGTGACCTCTGCGTGTAGAGCTCCAGGGCTAAGTCATGAATCTTCTCATCCAGTGACAGCACTTCCTTGATCAGCTCAGGTAAAGATCTCAAACCACGGATGATCTCTTGCCTCCTGTTTTGTAGTGAAATTCGGTCTTCAGACATCATCAAACCAAACATCACCAGAGAGATGAACTGACTGGTATAAGCCTTGGTGCTGGCCACACCGATCTCTGGCCCTGCGTTGATGTGGACGCCGCAGTCGGTCTCTCGGGAGATGGAGCTGCCCACGGTGTTGGTAACACCCACAGTCAGGGCGCAGCGGTCTTTGCAGTAGCGCAGCGCCAAGAGTGTGTCCGCCGTCTCGCCTGACTGGCTGATGAAAAAGCAAACATCATCCCTGAACACAGGTGTGTTTCTGTCCAGAAAATCGCTAGAAAGTTCAACCATCACAGGGAGCTCAGTCAGTTCCTCCAAAACTTGCCGCGTAGCCACAGCAGCGTGGTAGCTGGTTCCACAGCCAATCACGATGAGCCGTCGGCATCGTCGGATCTCCTTCAAGTGGTCCTTCAAGCCACCCAGGAGCACTGTGTTGGTCTCAAAATTCACCCGACCTCTCATAGTATTGAAAACGGATTCTGGCTGTTCGAAGATCTCCTTCTGCATAAATGCACTGAAGTTACCTTTCATGATTTGCTGCAGTTCCATCTGCAAGGTCTGGATGGCTCGAGATGGGTCATCACTAGCCGAGCGCTTGACCCGGTGAATGGAGTTTCCCATCAGCCACTGCAGCGATGTCATCATCCTCCAGGAAGATGACGCGGTTGGTGTGCTCTATGATAGCGCTTGCATCAGAAGCAAAGAAGAATTCCACGGCCTTGTCACCTACAGCGTGCAGGCAGGCGGAGCTGTCCAGTCTCTTCATCCGTGCCTTACAGATATTCTTCACATTCTCCAGAGTGCACGTCCTGTATAAGATGGGAATCTGTTCTGTAGAGAGCTTGTATTTGCTGCGGACTCCAATGAGCAGGGGGCTGCCTCTCCGTGTGGCAACAGCTTCTCCTGGGTAGTGGATGCTCTTGAAAACCAACACAAATGCACCTTCCAACTGCTGAATGACTCTCTCAACCAATGTTGAAAACGTAATGTCCTCAGTTTCTCTGTTGTCGAACACATATTTAATCAGCTTGGCGATGGTCTCTGTATCTGTTTCTGACTCAAACTCGTAGCCTTTGCTTTCCAGAAATTTCCTCAGATCTTTGTAATTTGTGATGATCCCATTGTGGATGACAACAAATTCGTTGCCTTTGTCGGAGCGCTGGGGGTGGCTGTTGACAGCACTGGGGACCCCGTGGGTGGTCCAGCGAGTGTGGGCAATGCCGAAGTGCGTTTCAAACTCCACTTTTAAGTCCATGCTGTCTTGTTTGTAAAGTTCTTCATCAAGAGCTTTAACTTTGCCCCTTTTCTTGACCAGCTGAATGTGTCTTTCTTTGACTTCATGATTATTCCCATCGATTGCCACACCTGCCGAGTCGTAGCCTCTGTACTCCAGCCGCTGCAGGCCCTTGATGAGGGTTTCAAAGATCTCCTTCCTTAGCTGGGGGACTCTATAGTTCATGTAGGCAAAGATTCCGCACATCGTGGCTGCTGCTCAGGCCCGTTCGTGGCTCGGGGGATTTGCTGGCTCCAACGCTGTGGCTACTCCGTGGGCTCCCTGTGCTCCGCGGGCTCCCTCTGTTTTCATTTTTACTCAGCTCAAAATATTTTCTGACTTCCTTGTTCCTTTTTTGACCATGGGTTATTTAGATGTATGTTGTTTAATTTCCAAACACTTGTGAATTTCCCAAAATATCAGTTATTAATTTCTAATTTAATTCCATGTGGTGAAATAAAATATTTTGCAGGATTTCAATGCCTTCAAATTTACTGACTTGCTTTATGGCCTAGAAGATGGTCTGTCCTGGAAAACATTCATGTGTGCTAGAGAAGAATATGTATTCTGTTGTTGAATGAAATGTTTTATAAATGTCAGTTAGATCAAGTCAGCTGATACTGTTGCTCATACCTTCTGTCTGCTCACTGATTTTCTGTCTAGTTGTTCTATCCATTACTGAGAGTGGGGTATTGAAGTCTCCCAATTATTATGTCTGAATTCCCAGTTTATCCCTCTAATTCTATCGGTTTTTGCTTCATACTTTTTGGCGTTATTTTGCTGGATATGTATATGTTTATAATTGTTGTATCTTCCTGATGAATTAACCTTTTTGTCATCATAAAACGATCCTTTTTTTGCTAATAATATTTCTCCTCTTAAAGTCTATTTTTTTCTGATATTAGTACAACCACTCCTGCTATGACTACTGTTTACATTCACCTATTTGTGACTTTGGACCTAAAGTGTGTCTCCTGTGGATGGCGTGTAACTGGATCTTGTACTATCAAGTCATATGATCTCTGCCTTTTTTGGTGTGTTTAGTTCATTCACATTTAATGTTACTATTAATAAAGTTGGATTTATGTCTACAATTTTGCTGTCAATATTCTGTACCCCACATGTCGTTTTTGTTCCTCTGTTGCCATCTTTTCTGTATCAAAGACATATTTTTTAATGATCATTTTAACTCCTCTGTTAACTTTTTAATAACATTTTTAATTGCCTTCTTTGTGGTTGCTCTAGGGATTATAATGTGCATCTTGACATATTGCTATCTACTTCAGATTAATACTAACTTAGTTCCTATAAAATATGGAAACTTTGCTTAAAATTAGCTCCATTCCTTCTCCCCTACTTATGCTATTGTTAGATAATATATGGATGTAGCTTCTAACATACATGGATGTAGTATATCTAACTGCATCCAAGACGGTGTTGCAAATATTGCTTTATATAAACTGTTTTAAATTAGTTGAGAGAAAAAAGAAAAAATATACTTATAGTCATTTATATTAAGCACACTTTTACCATTTCTAGTACTCTCCATTTCTTCCTGTTGATTAAGGTACTTATTGTCTGGTGTCATATTACGGATCTAACATAGCTTCATTTCAGTCCCTCTCCTTTGTGATATTACTATTATATTTACTATATATTTGCATGGTATAAGACCAAGAAAAGGATTTATAACTAGTTTTATTGAATTGCCTTTCAAATTGGTTGGCATAAATGATAAAATATATATTTATCTTCTCCTATATAATCACCTGTGTAATTATCTTTACTGGTACTTTGTATTTCATGTGGCTTAAAATACTCTCTGGTGTGACTTTCTTTCCACCTGAAGAATTTTCTTTGCTATTTCTTTTAAGGCAAGTCTGCTAGCCACAAAGTCTATCAGTCTTCATTCATCTGGGACTATCTTTATTTTATCTTCATTTTTACAAGATATATTACTGGATATAAAATTCTTGGTTGATAGGTTTTTTCCTTTCAGCACTTTTAATATGTCATCCCACTGCCTCTGGCCTCCATTGTTTCTGATGAAAAGTTGACTATTGTTTTTTATTGTGCTTCTCTTGTATACAACAAGTCTTTTTTCTCTTGCTGTTTTCAAGATTCTTTGTGTTTGGCTTTCATCTGTTTGAATGATATGTCTAGGTATTCACAGAGGTTCTTGGGTGCATAGATAAAATGTTTTACATCAAATCTGGAAAATATTCAGTTATCTTTTACACAGGTATGTTTTCTGCCTTTTTATTTTCTCTCTTTCTGGGCCTCCAATTACACATTTGTTGGTTTGCTAAGTGGTGTATCCTTGGCCTCTAAGGCTCTGTTCATTTTTCTTTATTCTTTTTTCTCCTGCTCTTCATATTAGATAGTCGCTGTTGATCCATCTTTGAGTTTGCTGATTCTTTTTTCTTTCTGGTCACTTGAATTTGCTGTTGAATCACTCTAGTAAATTTTTTATTTTGGCCATTGTATTTTTCAACCCCAGGATTTTCATTTGGTGCTTCTCATTTCTACCTCCTTATTAATATTCTATATTTGATAAGTCATTGTCATTCTACTTTCCTTTAAGTCTTTAAACTTGATTTTATTTATTTATTTAAACATACTCATAATAGCTGTTTAGCAGTTTTTGCTACATTCAACATGCAGGCCCACTAGGAAAGAGTCTTTAGTTACTGTTTTTGTGTGTATGGGTCACTCTTTCCTGTTTCTTTGCATGTCTCATAATTTGTTGTTGAAAAACTGGACATTCTGGGTTCTGATCTCCTTCCCCACCCAACCAAGGCTGACGGTTGCTACTGTTTGCTTGTTTGTTTGTTGTTTGTTTATTGACCCACCTGGACTGATTCTGTGATACCTGTTTCTCTCACAGCATGTAACCACGGACATGTCTGCTTAGAGTTTTTTTTTTTTCTTGTTTTCATTTTTAAGCCTGACATCCAGGATCAGCATAGCTTAATGGTCAGCCAGTGAGTGGCCAGAGGTTGAGTCACACCTTATGCCAGGAAGGCTTCACCTTTTGTCAGTGGATCTCTGCGTGACTTGGAGAATTCATTCAAAATTCCAGATTTGTATGAGTCTCCAGTCTCTCCTGAATGTGTATACAGCCTTTTGCATAACTTCCAGACCACCAGAGACATGTGGCAACTTTTTAAGACCCTCTTTAGTTGTATCATTACCTGGATTTCCATGTTAAATTTTTGGCTGACCTGTTGGCCTACTGCTTGACCTAACCGGTACTGCAACCTCAAGCTAGCTGCAATTGTGGTCTTCCATGATTGTTTGTCACTGAGATAACTATTGTTTTCAACATCCCTGGGCATGGAAATAAAGCCAGTCTCTCTCTGCTGACACTGCCAATCCTCCCACAAGCCCCACCACCTGGTTAGAACTTCCTTACCACGATCACAGAGCTGGAGGTGAAGGGCAATGCTGAAACACTACAGACTCCCACTGTTCTTTCTGAAATTCTGAGAACCAGTAGACTTTCTTAAATTAACGCTTCTCAGTTTGTTGTATGCCTTTGGTCAATTTTCCTGTCTTTAAATAACTGTCTTTGGCAATTTTGTCTAGCTTTGTAATTGTGTTGGGGAAAGAGGATTTGCGGAGATCTGAACTCAGCCATTCCACAAGTCCTGTCCACTTGCAGGGATGAGTTTTTGTGGGCAAAAAGCAAACAGTATATACTACTATATTTCATAGAAGGAACTGAGGCCAAGGAAGAGGAATTGTTTTGTCTAAATTCCCACAGCAAGTCCATGGGAGAGCTAGGACCAGAACCACCCCCTTGCTCCTGCCAACAAACCAACTCTCTTCTTCTGCCTTAAAGGGAAAATGTAATGGCAGCCACATATCCACTAGAGGGCTCCCCAAACCAGGCTTCTCACCCAGAAAGCACAATGATCTCACAGGAGACCTAAAATTAGACTTCATTTTCTTTTGCCTTAAGCCCAGGGAAAGCAATATGGATATACCCCTCCCTACAACCCAGAAGCTGGTAGTATACCGGAGAGGTTGAGAGCTAAGAGTTGGGAGGACAGCATGTGAGTGATGTAGATGGATAGAGGAGCAGGAGGAGAAGGGCTAGAGGCAGCCAAGAGAGTAAGTGAAGAAAGGAAAGAGTGGAGGAGAGATCTTTCTCATCCTTTGAAGAAGAATTAAAAAGTAGCAATAGCAAATAGTATTCTCTTTGTGATTCAGACATCAACAGGAATATATTGCTTTAAGCAGATGCCTCTGTCTTGATAAATGGCAAAGGGATCAGAGAACAATGTTTTAAAACGTTTGCAAGAAAGTCTGAAGTTTAAACATTTTGAAGCTCATTTTAAAAAATCAACTCAGATTCAACATTTGCCTGTGCAGATGCAGGTAAACAGTTAAATTACCTTTAATTTTAATTTAGGCATATAGATTTTTGATTCATAGATTTTCTCATTTTTTCCTTTCAGACATAGGTAAATGAGAGAGGAAGAGAACTTTCTTAGCCTAATTTCTTTATATGAACATATGTACTAGGCTGAGGCCACTTCTGCTTTCATACACACGTGACATAGGAAAGCCCATAGGCCCATCCTCACTGCGACAGCAACCTAAGGACCACTACTAAGTCCTGACAGCAGTCAGGAAGAACAAAAGATGAACAAGAAGCATAGAACAGGCGACATAGCTCAACTCAGTCCAGCTCGGGCTATTACTTCTGGTACTGATCTGGCAGTAACAGTAAGATTGTGGGACAGGTTTTGCTGAGTCAGTCCAGAGGGAAAGCCAATTGGTTCAAGGGTAACTCTATCTCACCCCATCTCACTCTACCTGAGCACAGACCCCAATACCTGAGAGTCCTAACCAATGACTCTCACCCACCATCCACAGATCTAGTGGAGGGCAGGGCTCTCGGAGTCTGCCAAGCCCGCTGGACAGTCATGTCTGTTCCTCCTAGGAACACGTAGTCCGTTTTTCACCATCCGTCCACCTTGGACACACTTCCCCACCAACCAAATAGCCAGTTACTTCCCACTCAACACGGTTAGGTCATTCCCAACAAGCAGTCAATCAAATCCTTGCTGTTGTTTCCTGGAAAAATGACAGTAAGAGGATAGCCCAGTCCATTTTAAATTATAAACCAGCACAATTCATAACTGCAAAAACAGTATTTCATTACATTTCCTTTTCATAAAAGGAAAAGCTGATGCATTGGACTTCATCAAAATTTAAGAACTTGTTCTGAAAGACAAGGCACGGATGAAGAGAAAATATTACAGAATATGTATCCGATGACATACTTGCAAACAGAACCTCTGAAGAACTCACAAAACATACGAACCAATAGGAAAAAATGGGCCAAAGATTTGAACACTTCGCCAAAGATTATGCATAAGGATGGCAAATACACACATGAAACGAGGTGCAACATTATTAGTCATTAGGAACATGCAAATGAAAATGACAATGAGATATCTACACGTCTATTAAAATCGCTAAAATCTAGAAGATTGACCATGAGAAACGCGGACGAACTGGACGTCTCACACCCTGCTAGCAGGAATGTAAAATTACACAACCACTGTGGAAACAGTATTTAAGAGCTCTTTTAGAATTTGTCTAGAAGGCTTGGAAAGCCCCAACAAAGAAAAAAAATTTTAAAAGAAAACAGTAAGTTAAATATACATCTACCACACGACCTAGCCATTTCATTCCTGCATCCTGACCCAAGAGGAAAAATATACGGTCTGCACCAAGACTCGTATATAAATGTATATAAAGCAGATTTGTGATAGTCAAAAACTAGAAGCAACTCAAATGCTCAATCAACAGGTAAACAGATAAACCAGCATGGTATATCCATGTAATGAAATAGTACTCAGTAACAAAAAGGAATGAACTGTTGATAAAAAGCAACAACATGGATGTCACTCAAAACAGTTATATGAAGAAGACGAAGTGCACACAATATGATTGCATATAAATCTCTTAAAAACGCAAACGAATCTATGGTGACAAAAAGCATATCAGTTGTTGCCTGGCGATGGGAGTGGCGTGGGAAGAAAGAGGGATTTCAAAGAGGCACAAAGAAACTTTTGTAAGTTATAGAGGTTATTCGTTATCTTGACCGTGGTGAAGATTTCACAGGATATACATAGATATCAAAATGTATCAAATCGTATGCTTCACAGGTGTATACATATGCCAGATGTATCAAGTTATAGATTTTAGATATGTGGAGTCTATGTCAATTATACCTTGGTAAAGCCACCTTAAAACAAAGCATAACCAACATCCCAAATCAGGATATGTATTAGACCGTCTAAACCAAGCTTGTCCAACCCGCAGCCCACAGGCCACATGCAGCCCAGGACAGCTTAGAATGTGGCCCAACACAAATTCATGAGCTTTATTAAAACGTTAGGAGTTTTTATGTGGTTTTCTTTTTAAGCTCATCAGCTACCGTCAGTGATAGTGTATTTTAGGTGTGGCTCAAGACATTTCTTCTTCTTCCAATGCGGCCCAGGGAAGCCAAAAGATTGGAGACCCCTGGAAACAAAGTAAAATAAAATATGCAGAGAAGTTGCCAGGAGGTGAATTGTTATACCTACCTCAGCTGCTTGCTTTACCAACGTGCTGTCATTCTCAGGCTTGGGACTTGAGCTCCACTCTGCTCTCTGGCTGGGTGCAGTCTCCAAGCAAAGTACAAGCTTCTCGCTAAATGATTTTGCAATCATGTAGTTAACAAACATTACTATTTCATAATTATTGGAAAATCTGTATTACAGATTTGTGATTTTTAAGATGCCTTTTGGTTTCAAGACTGTAGGGAACATTTCCCCCTAAGCTTGTTTCTGTGAACCCATTAGCTTTTATACAAAAGAACCGCTGTTTGCTGGTTTTCTGACAATTGTTTAAATGCTAATTAATGATAGCAAGAAGAAGTTCTCGGGGTTTCTATTTTTTAATTTGCTAATAATCTCTTTTTAATGTTTATCAAAGTGATACTTGCACATAGTTGTTGTCAGTTTTGTTTTGTTTTTTAAGGAACCAGGAGGTAGGAATTTATAATGAAATACAAGGAGCCTTCCTCCTTTCCCTCCTCATCCCAGCCCTACTGCGCAGAGGCAAACTCCTTGAAATCTAGAGTTGTCTCGTCCAATGATTAGCTCCAGACCTCTAAGCAAGCTTGATAAGGCACAACACTGTGCAACATGAATGAAATCGGTCTATTTCTCTCTGAAAACAAGGTGTTACAGGAGAGGACAGAAATGCAAGGCAAGAATATGCTTTCAAGCATATTAAATTAAGGTAGGATAGTAGCATAAAATATCTTGGAGCCCAAACGATCTAGGTTTGAATCCTATGATTGCCGTCCCACCTTGCGCTAATTAATGTCTGACCCTCAGCTTGATTATCTTTAAAACAGAGATGAAAATATGTGTCTCACAGAGGTGTCAAGAGGGTGAAAAGAGACAGCACTGTAAACATCCGGTACACCGGCAACTCAGAAACGGCTTTTTCATGCTTTAAACTCTTCTCCAGAAAAAATTAGTGCATGGGGCAGGTGGGACACCCCTCATTCTCAGTACAGCTCCTCTCCAAAATTTCAGCCCCTCAACATTTTTTAAAGCAGCAACCATCACGTTGCTAAGGAAAGTGAATTCAGGAAATCTGCCAAAGGCCAACTCATCGTTCATTGATTGGTGAGACCGAGAACCATACTGTAAACCTCCTGCTAAAAGCCATTCGTGTCTCTGGGGTCTAGAGAATGGCCCTGTGGCTAGAAACGGCTGCAACGCATGCCTGTGGCCAGCAGGTCCCAAGCCCAGTACAATCTATTATCACCCAGGATCGCACCAGCCTTCCCCTTACTGGGGCAAACTGGTTCACACAAAAACCACGTCTGGGTTTGTTTTACAGAACTGCATTCCAAGTCAATTCTTCAAAAGACTTCTTCCACTCAATCTTCTTACCCTTGCTGGATGCTTCTGCCCTGTTCTAACATGCCGGGTGGAGGCTGCTTGACTGGGAGCTGGGCCAACGCTGCGGATCCCACGGATTCTTCTAATTCAAGGGGGTGGGAAATGCTATTTAGACCTGCGAAAGGAGAATTCGAGCAAGCACCTTGACCGCTACGGGAGAGTGAGCTCAGAGCTCTAGCCTAGCATCGTGCCTGGCTCCTGGTTAGGCCTCGGGAAATGCTGGGATGAATGGAGAGCGTTGTGGAACTAGGCGCTGCAGCGGATTCAGTTCCTCCGCCAAAGAGAGACTTTGGAATTCCTGGGGACGGAATCGGGGAGAGGATGGAGAAGGGCGCCTCGTCTCTGTCCTAAGCCGGATGGGAGGAAACTTTGCAGAGCTAGAGCCGGTCTTAACTCCGCCCTCGGGAGCCGCTGCCACTGCCTCACTTCCACAGGAGATACAGCGGGCAGGAGGGAGCGGCTGCCCGGCTCGCTTTGATTAGCTTATAACAAGAGGTCGTGCTGAAATATTCACTCAGGATGGCAAACAGACAACATAATCACCAAGTGTCTAAGGAGCTTTGAGGGTGGCCGGGCGTGGTGGCTCACGCCTGTAATCCCAGCACTTTGGGAGGCCGGGGTGGGAGGATCACTTGACGTCAGGAGTTCGGGACGAGCCTGATGGTGAAACCCCGTCTCTACTAAAAACACAAAAATTAGCTGGGCGTGGTGGCGGGCGCCCATAATCCCAGCTACTCGGGAAGCTGAGGCCGGAGAATCGCTTGAACTGGGGAGGCGGAGGTTGCAGTGAGCCCAGATCACGCAACAGTGTGAGGCTCTGTCAAGAAAAGAAAAGAAGAAAGGAGAAAGGAAAGAAAGAAAGGAAGGAAAAGGAAAAGGAGTTTGGAGGCTAACGGCCCGCTGGGACCTGGAGGACAACCCAGCCCGGCACCGCGGCCTCGTGGGGAGGGCGCCCGTTCTTGGGACGGACCTGAGTGGGTCGCAGTTGAACGCCTGGGCGCAGGCTGCTGGTCCTTGGGCCCGGTGCTGGCGGTTCGCGAGGCGGGTTTGGAGCTGGGTGAGGGAATTCGAGGGAGGCAGAGCGCGTACTCCCCCGTGGCGCCCGGGCTCAGGCCCATTCCGTCTCAGCGGCCTCGCCGGCCTCCAGGCCCTGCAAGGGACGACGCGCCTGGTCCGGGAGATCGTGGGCACCGGGGGCGGCTCGGGGAGGAGCCGCGGAGGGGAAAGCGCAGCGCGTGGCAAACGGTCGGGGCGCGCGGGGCGGCGACAGCGGCGCGGGCGCAGTGAGCACGTCAGAGAAAAGAGTGGGGGGGCGAAAATGGGGGATCTGTAGGTCTTTTCGGGGAAGTAGGCGTAGGAGGTTTTCGTTGCGGGGAAGGTCGTGGAAATAGTAAAGGCTCAGAGGTGGTGTCTAAACACGCTGGAGAAGCTAAACCGTTTGGAACAGAGTCTTGGAGGGGTAAGTGGAGACCGGATTAGGAAGCCTTAGGAGGCACAATCGGGAGTTTAAATCTTGAACAGTCTGGAGTTTTTTTATTTTAAAAAATATATAGAAAATGTAATCTACACGTACATAACAGGTAACATACCAAAAAGTACATGGAATACACATGTCGCAGTCTCCCCATTGTACCTTAATGTAGCAATTTCTCTTTGTCTGGACTAGTACCCGGGGTTCTTTGTCCTACTCCAAGAAAATTCAGGAAGGGGACACAAGGTGAGGTGGGAGCAAAAGTTTAATAAGCAAAAGAAGACTCCACAGCGAGCTGGGTATGCCGGCAGTTTGCCCTGTGACAGCTGAATCCAAAAGCTTTTGTAAGAAAACCTCTTATCTCTGTAGCAGTTTGGGTAACTTCTCTTATCAGTAAAGCTGTCTTGTCTTCTGCAGCCGTGGGTTGTCTCTAAACAGGCACACAGCACCGCCTTCGTTGTTGGGATAACTGGGAGTTGGTTTTAAGTAAGCCCCCCTCCTCCCTGCACAAGTTCCCACCGTGTGTATGCCTGAAAAGGGGAGGAAACTTTCCTGGGAACTCTCTAATTATGCAAAGAACAAGCGGCTTGTGTGCAGGTGTCTGCTCATCTGTGTGCAGGTGCAGCCTGAGTTTTTCCCAGGTCGTTTTATTTTTGCCTGTTGCTATGACTTTTCAGGCAGGCCGCTTCTGCACTGAGTCTTCCCCAACTGAGTTTCCCTTTCCTTCGCCCTCACACATAATTATGAAACATAATAAAATTACTACCCGTGACAAAACCGTCCTAGTTAAGAAATGGAACATTCCTAGTACAGATGCTCCCACCTGAGTTCTTTCCTTCTCCCGTCTCCCTTGGCACGCCCAGCTTCTATCCTGAGCCTGTGTCTGTCATACCCTCACTTGTTTCAAGAGTTTTTTAAATTGCTTCTTTGTGTCGCTAATACATTACTTAGTTTTGCTTCTCTGAAATTTTATAAAAACTGTGCTATGGTCTGGGCGTTTGTGACTCCATGAAACTCATGTGCTAGAACCCTAACCCCCAAAGTGATGGTATCAGGTGATGGGTCCTTTGGTCATGAGTGGGACTCATAAATGCCCTTGTAAAGGAGGGTCCTGCAGAGCTACCTGGTCACTTTCACCATGTGACAACACAGCTGCTGCCATCCATCTTAATAACTGAGACCAGTCCCTCACCAGACAGGAATCTGCTGGCACCTTGATCTTGGACTTCTTAACCTCCAGAACTGTGAGGAATAAATTGCTGTTGTTTATAAGCCACCCAGCCTATGGCATTTTGTTATAGCAGCTCAAATGGACTAAGACAAATGGTATTATGCTGTAAGTTCTTCTTTTGAAGTTGTTTCTATAATACATACTTAGTGCTGTATAGTCCTGTAATTCATTTTTACTGCAGTAAAATCTTCCGCTCTGTGACTATAACACAATTTATTGATCTAGTAATAAATCCACTAGATGGTTTGTTGTTTTGTTTTTTAATCTAATTTGGAGCTGGAAACAATTGAAAAGAACCCAAATTGTATCCTGGTATACGCATTCGGATATCCCACAAGATGTAATACCTAGAAGCATATGCAAATATCCAACTTTACAATAAAACACTAGAACTTTTTCCCAGTTGGTGGTCCCAATTTCACTTCTACCAGCAATAGGTAGGAATTATTAATTTACATCTTCACCAACACTTACTACTGTCACACTTCTTGATTTTTCCAGGAGAGTGAATGTGAAATAGAATTTCACCAGAATTTTAATTTGCATTTCCCTGATTACTAATAAAGTTGAGACCTTTGCATGTATTTATCATATTCCCTCTTTTAAAAAGTGCCTGCTCATGTCCTTCGCCCATTTTTCTTTGGAGTTGTGTTCTTTTTTATTTGTAGGAGCTCTTGGTATATTGTTGATACTCATGTTTAATCGGTTATACTTGTTTACACACATTTTCTTGCAGTTAATGGCTTGTCTTTTCACTTGCTGCATGTCCTTTGACAAGTAGAATTTATGTCTTTTCTTTTATTGTCAGCTCTCTATCTTCTCATGAAGTCTTTCTTGCCCTGAAATCAGAAAATATTCTTCTATATTTTCTTGAAAATATTTTAAAATTTTCCCTTTTCCACTAATCCATTTAGAATTGATTTTTTATATGTGGGAAACAGGGATCCAACTTCATTTTTCCTCATATGAATAATCATTTCTCTCAGCACTACTTGTGGATAGTTTCCACTTTCTCGTGAATGAACAAGGCCACCTCTGTTCTGCACACCGCTTTGAGCAGGAATACTATTGACTCTAGTCAGTTTCTCTGATAAATGTATCTGTCTTTGTGCTACTGTCATGTAATTTAATTGCTACATCTTTATGATAAGTTTTGATGTACAGATATCTCAAGATCCCTCCTTCCTTATTCTTCCTCGGGAACTTCTCAGCTATGCTTCAGCTTTTGCCTTTCATTATAAATTTCAAAACTAGTTTGGCAAGTTGTTGGAGTCTGGCACGTCTGCCAGGGGCTACTGACCTGCGGGAGTCCCCGAGACCACCAACGTAGATGTCTCATTCAACCTGAGGGAGAGAGTGCGCGGAAATGAAAGAAAAGAGAAAAGCGGAGTCTGGAGGGCTGGCTTAGGCTATGTCCAAGCAGCAATTTTATTTTTGCAATATGTTCCATTATATACTTTTCTGAAGTTAATGTTGTTTATGCCAGATCAACATACTTAAGTTACAGTAAGCAAGTTACGCCCACTAAGTTATGCCCAGCAAGTAAGTTAAGCCCAGTAAGTCAGTTATGCCCAGTAAGTTACGGTAAGTAAGTTACAGTTATGCCCAGTTAGTTATGGTAAGTAAGTTACAGTTATACTCAGTAAGTTATGGTAAGTAAGTTACCAAGTATAAATACTTAAGTTAATATTTTACAATGAAGGTAACAAGGGTCCAAAATGAACACAATCAAGCAATAAACCATAAGGAGCCAAAAGTGGACACAATGCCTCCCAAGTCCTCATATCCATAAAGTAATGTCTGTTAATTATTTTGAATAGCATAGTCCCTCTCTCAGTTCCTGCTTTCCCTCAGCTCGACTCCCCCAACCGGGGATCTGTGTCCGGGCTCAAGCTCACCATATGATGAGGCCCATTTCCTAGGGGCCTCACACGGGAGCAATCCCCACAGATCCCTCAGCAAGTTGCTCAAAATACCCTATTGGCATTTTGCTTGGAATTACAGTGAATCAATAAATCAACTTGGCAATTTTGGCATCTTTACAGAATTGATTATTTTAGTTAATTATGTTTTCTATCTCTCTGTTAGGTTTTTAAATCTTTCTATGGATTCTTCTAATATTCTTCATAAATATCTAATCTTAATATATTGTATTTTTCTCTCGACTCATTTGGAAGGTTACACTGTATTCTTTTACTTATTGCCCTCAAAATCTTAACACATATGCTTAAGTCTAAAATTAATATCCTAAACAATCCTCTGAAACAATGCAAGGACCTTGGAACACTTTCACTCTTTCAACCAATTACCAGTCAGTTCTTTGAGTCCACCTATGACCTGGAAGCCCACCTCTTCGAGTTGTCCCACCTTTCTGGACCAAAGCAATGTACATCTTATATGTATTGATTGATGTTTCGTGTCTCCCTAAAAGGTATAAAACCAAAATGTAGCCTAATAACCATGAGCACACGTTCTCAGGATCTCCTGGGGCGGTGTCACAGGCCACTGGCCACTCACATTGGGCTCAGAATGAATCTCTTCAAATGTCTCAGAATTTGACTCTTTTCTTCAACACACTGGCCCCTCCGCCCTTGGCTCCCTCTCACTGTGTATACTGAGCCCTGTTCCTGAGCACATCTGACAGAATTTCCCCACATAAGCACCTTCAGTAACCCGGCTCCATCTACTGCGCAAGCTCAGCTCTGAACAAACTTAGCTCCGCACCCAGAGCCCTTCCAGTTCCATCCTAAGTCAATGCTTCTCCAACTTTAAAGTGCATCAGAATCAGCTGGAAGGCCTGTGAAAATGCAGATTCCTAGGCCTGGCTTCCAGAGAGTGCTCCTCAGTTGGTCTGGGGTGGAGCCCCAAAACTTGCATTTTTAACAAGTTTTCAGGTGAAGCTCATGCTGGTGGTTTGTGGACCAGAGCTTGGGTAGCACTGGCTGATACCTGATCCCTCGACCCCTCATGCACTCTCCCTCCATCCAGGGAGCTGCTTACTCTGCCCTCAGAACCCCAGGCGCCTGAGCCTTTGCCCAACCTGGTCCTGCCAGGAATTCCATGCTGCCAAGTCTGACACTATGGGCCAGATCCTGGAACCTTCCAACTCAAGATAAAGTTGAGAGGTTGTGCTGCTTTTTCAAGGGAAAGGCTTATCGGGATTTGAACCAGAACTGGAAGGACGCTAGTTAACTGCGGACATTTGGCCCACCCCCAGACACAGGCTCCCTGTGGGACACGCTGTGGGTCACTTTCTCCTTGTACAGATGAACAAAGGATGGCCCAGGGGTGGGAAGTGACTTTTCCAAGGGCACACAGCACATTAGACGAGAGGCTGAGGGAGAATTCAAGTCTCCTTCCTGTGCGGTTATGTGCTTCTTGTACTGCCTTTTCAGAGCGTAAGGGGCCCTGCTTTCTCCCCTTTGCTCATTCTACTTTCTTGCCACCACAGCTGGGCCCCAGCATTTCCAGCTGATGCTGAAATAGAGCCTCAGGGGGCTGTAAAACTTGGAAAAGGAAGAAGAGTGGAGGAAGGGGCAAGAAAAGGCAGGGAAGAAATAAAACCCTCTGTGGTGAAGGGAGGAAGGAATGGGAAGTCACCCAAAGCTGTCCAGGGGGCTGGGGGTGGGGCAGTTTCTGGAACCTATACACATGAATCACCTCCCCTTCCTCTGACCCAGTAAGGGCTCAAGCTGGAAACCACAGACCTTCGCAGGCCCCGAAGGAGCCAGCCTCTGGCCTCCCTCTGCAGTGGCCACGTGCTACAGACCCGGAGGGGGTAGTTAGTTGCTTAATGCCAGCCTTCCTCCCCTGGACACAGAGTTCTGCTGACAGCCCCAGTCCAGCCAGAGCTCTGCTGTACATCCCTGGGAGTGGGGCTGGTGTGGAGCCTGGAGGTCACCTGCCGCCTCCCAGGGCTGCTCCAGACAGCATTAAGACCCTGCAGGGCACAGGTGAGACTAATAGCTGGGAGACCTGCTCCAGGCATTCAGGACCCTGGCTGGGGCAAGTGGGTCAGCCACTGGAAGCAGGGCTCCTGGAACCAGGCTCTACAGTTGGAGTTGTCACCCACTCTCATGTCACCTGGAGAAGAACTGGACCCAATTCCTGACAGCTTCATTCTGCAACCACCAGTGTTCCACCCGGTGAGCTGTCACTCGAATCGGGAACCTCCTAGGTCTCTGGGCTCTTCTCTTCCAACTGGGTCCAGACTCCTGGGCGGCGGGGTGGACAGGACCTCCGTCCTGGGCTCTGCTTCTCCCAGCGCCTGCCCTGGGCTCTGGAAGGCCCTCTTGAGCTTAGCAAAGTGGCTGACTGCTAATTCCCACTTGGGTATAAATGACTGCTAGGTTTCCAGGGTCGTTGTATTTTTTTTATCATTATACTTTAAGTTCTGGGGTACACGTGCAGAACGTGCGGGTTTGTTACATAGGTATACACATGCCATGGTGGTTTGCTGCATCCATCTCCCTGTCATCTACATTAGGTATTTCTCCTGATGTTAGCCCTCCCCAAACCCCTCCCCGTGCCATCCCTCCCCTAGCCCCCCAACCTCCAACAGGCACCAGTGTGTGACATTCCCCTCCCTGTGTCCATGGGTTCTCATTGTTCTACACCCACTTATGAGTGAGAACATGTGGTATTTGGTTTTCTGTTCTTGTGTCAGTTTGCTGAGAATGATGGTTTCCAGCTTCATCCATGTTCTGCAAAGGACCTGAATGCATCCTTTTTTATGGCTGCATAGTATTCCATGGTGTATATGTGCCACATTTTCTTTTCCAGTCTATCATTGATGGGCATTTGGGGTGGTTCTAAGTCTTTGCTATTGTAAACAGTGCCACAATGAACATACATGTGCATGTGTCTTTTTAATAGAATGATTTATAATCCTTTGGGCATAAACCCAGAGGGTTGCTGTATTTTGAAAGTGGTGAAGCCTGGAGCCACAATGCTCTGCCCCTACTGTAATGGGTGCTAGGAGGATGGGAGTGTGGGTAGGATTGTTGAGGGGGACGGTGATTGCCTAGTAAGGACAGTCTCATCCCCGGCGTGGTAGGAAGGGTCAGGTGGGAATTTCCACTCAGGGATGGTGGCTGGGAGCGGGGCTTCTCTCTTCCTTCTGCTCAGTCAGTGCCTAAGAGGTTTTCTGAAGCTGGCAATGATTTACAGAAGGCTGAATTCCCAGCTGACACCCCCAACTAATGAGCATTAATTATCACTCTCCCTCACTTGGCCCTTCCCTCCCATGAGAGCTGCATCCACTCAGTTAATTACAGGCCTGAAGGGAGCCTGGGAACTGGAAGTGACTCAACTGCTAAACCAGCTGAGCTTCCCAGGCGGGCATCCCAAGCCTCCCTCCCATGCTTCCCAGGTGTCTGCGGAATGGGCAGAAGCAGCTGCCCAGGTTACAGCAGCTCCTTGCTTTGCAGGCTGCGAGCTCCCACCTGGAGGGCTGTGCTGGTGGGTTCTCAGTTCTTTCTAGGTGGTTTGGGCTCCTAAAGGTGGCTGGGAGGCAGAGAGCAGCACAGGAAGGCCAATCTAGCGATGCCACCAGCATGAACCTGCCATCCTGCTCAACTCATTCCGAACAGGCCCATGCAGAGCCCTCATTGCCAGGCCAGGCACTGAACCTACAGGAGGGAAAGACCTGGCTTCGGTTTTGAGGGGCTTGTAAATTCCTAGGGAGAACAGCCAACCAGTCCCTCTAAGTCAAGGGCCTCATGAACAAAATGCTCCGGGAGCTCAGGGGAGGGAAGGAAGCATCCAGGCACCCATGTGGATGATGCTTGGAAAAAGAGTCAGGGTGGAAAGAGACAGGAGGAACGGCCCAGAAAGCCAGGGAGTTGCAAAAGTATGTGATGTACTTTAGGAAGGCCAGGTAACTGGGTTTTTTTTTTTGAGACCGAGCCTCACTTTTTCGCCCAGTGGTGTCATGTGATCTCAAGCTCACTGTAACCTCCGCCTCCTGGACTCAAGCAATTCTCCTGCCTCAGCCTCCTGAGTAGTCGGGATTACAGGTGCCTGCCATCACATCTGGCTAATTTTTGTGTTTTTAGTAGAGGTGGGGTTTCACCACGTTGGCCAGGCTGGTCTCAAACTCCTGACCTCAAGTTGATCTGCCCACCTCAGCCTCCCAGAGTGCTGGGATTACAAACATGAGCCACAGCGCCCGGCCCAGGTAACTTCTACGAGGGGAAAGGTGAGCCTGGGAAGGCCATTGTTAAGTGTCTCCCAGGGGTTCATTTCAAAGTCAGCTGTCAGTTCCCAGCTCATCCGTTCTTATTGCCTCCCAGTTCCCGCTCTCCAGCCACTAGACAGTCCTCAGGAAGACCCAGTACCAGGCTTCTGGGGACCAGGATGGCATCTAGTGGCTGGCAAGCCTCCCTGGGTTCACTGCAGCCTGTGGTCCCCGGAGGAGTCGGGGAGAGGCGGCTGGCTGGTGCTGAATTTGGCGAGGGAGCTGAATTTGACTTCTCTGGTGTAATGTGACAGTCCAGGGAAGGGGACTAGGTAGGAGAAAATACGTCAGAGAACACCGATTTTACCTGTAAGGGATTTTCTGCTTGGGGAGGAAACGTTGCGGTTTCTTCTGCTCCTTTCCTCCCCTCCCCTGACATGGGGGCCCTGCGTCCTTTCTCCAACCCTGCATGGTTGGGTTTCTCTTTTCGTTCAGGTGGTTCCTTATGTCATGACAATTTTTGGCGGCCTGCATGCAGGCAAGATGGTCATGCTGCAGGGAGTGGTCCCTCTAGACGCTCACAGGTAAGGCAGGGGTGGGAGGGGGTAGCCCAGGGGCATCAAGCTGGAGGGCTCCTCCCTGCCTTCAGGATCTCTGTGGATCTCTGGTCAAAACTGCACTCCGAGAGCCTCACCTCCCAGTAGGTTTCAGGTGGACTTCCAGTGTGGCTGCAGCCTGTGTCCCCGGCCCGATATCGCCTTCCACTTCAACCCTCGCTTCCACACCACCAGGCCCCACGTCATCTGCAACAGCCTGCACAATGGTCGCTGGCAAAGGGAGGCCCGGTGGCCTCACCTGGCCCTGCAGAAAGGCTCTGGATTCCTCATCCTCTTTCTCTTTGGGAGCGAGGAGGTGAAGGTGAAGAGCATTGGGTGGTCTAGAACTTGTGTCCTTGCGCCTCTTCTTCCCTCAGCCAGACTCTCCACAAGGCAGTGCCGAGTAGCATTGGTGGGGTCAGGTGCCGAGAGGACCAAGGAGCTGCCATGCCCGGTTCCAGGCTGCCCTGGGCCCACAAAGCTTTATAGTGCCTGGCTCCAAAGAGGGCATCACTGCCATTGTCATGGCAAGCACTTAGAGAGCACCTGCTGTATACCAGGAACTGTTCTAAGCCCTTTAAAGGTATCTGCTCATCGAATGCTCAACAACCCCATTAGGTAGGTACTTCCATTATCCCGCCTTACAGCACGGAGGCAGGGGAGAGGGAGAGAGAACTTGACCTCGAGGTTTTGACCCCTAATGAGAACTCCTGCCAGAAAGATGATGGGATCTTCAGACTTCTCCAGGAGACAGGGCAGCGGGTGGGAGGGGAGCCTTTTGAGCCTCAGTTTCCTCCTGTAAAATGGAGCAAAGATGATTCTTTGAGCTGCTGAGAAGGCAAAACAAGGGGCCTCTGTTGGGGTAGAGGGAGCATGGAAGGTGCCTTGGCTCAAGGCCAGCTTTGCAACCTTGGGAAGGTTACTTAAGCCCCCCAAGGCTCTGTAAAATGTACCTACCCCATAGAGTTGGTGTGAAGTTAAGTGAGGAAAAGGTGCTTGGTGATGCCTGGGACGTTGTTACGAACTGAATGAGCATCCGCTGCTGAAGAGCCAGCCTCTGTGTGTCTCTCCAGGTGAGTGTGAACGGACAGCACTTTCTCCACTACCGCTACCGGCTCCCACTATCTCATGTGGACACGCTGGGCATATTTGGTGACATCTTGGTAGAGGCTGTTGGATTCCTGAACATCAGTGTAAGTTCCCACAGGGCCAAAGCCTGGGCAGTGGCAGCCACTAGTTTCCCCGGACTCTGACAGGCCTGGGACCCCTTCCTGCACCCTAGATCGAGAGACAGAGGAGGCCCGGTGTACCTGTAATAGCCAAGGGGGAGGGAGTCCACTGAGGTTTCAGGGTGAGTGGGCTGAGGGGGAGGACAAGGCGCTGCAGAAAGGCAGGAGCCTGCACCCAGGGTGGGTCTGGTTAGCACTCAGAAGCAATGGCCAGGAATGATTTGGCACACTGGGGCCGAAACGGGCAGCAGCTGGCTTTATCATTCCCACCTGGTGAGCTTAGAAAAGCCCAGAGATTCTGAGTCAGTCAGTCCGAGGCGGGGCCCACGGACTGGGATGTTCGAAATGCCAGCAAGAGACAACCACTGAGCAGCCGAATGGGAAACCCAAGGAGCTCTAAAGCGCAAAGCCAGGGCTTGCCTGCCTCCCAGGCACAGGTAGGGATTGTAGTGTCCTGAATGCCGCTAATTCTTTTCTCTGTTTCTGAACAGCCATTTGTGGAGGGCAGCAGAGAGTACCCAGTTGGACACGTGAGTCTTAGAGCACGGTCTGAGCAGCCACACTAGCTGACCACGCAACACCCAGCTGCCCCTTTCATCACTTGATTGCCGTAAACTTGGCTGGCTCTACTCCAGTCTCTGGAGGGCCTGGATCTGCCTCTCCCAGCCCCTCTCCAGGGCCAGCTTGGGAAGACGAATGGGGGTGGGCTGCATGCAGAGGGGGCAAGACCCCGTATTCCCAGCAGGAGAGGCCTTAGTTGAAATGCTCATTTCTCAAACCACCCCTGCGAGGTGGCTGGGGTTGGCCTTGCAGGACAGAAGGGGAGATGAGGCCCATGTCCCTGCCCGAGGCCACAGTGGATGACAGACCCTCCACCCGGTTCTTCCCTGTTGTTCCAGAGCTAGTGAACCTCTGAAGTCCGGAGGATCCCACTGGGGCTCCAATCACTCACTTGCAGCCATGAGAGAGACAAGCCCCAAATAGTCCCAGTTTGTCAGAATAACAAGAGGTTCTTTTTCCTAAGCAAACACCACGTGGCCTTATGTCCCCTCTTTCTTTCCACGACAGCCTTTCCTGCTGATGAGCCCCAGGCTGGTGAGTGAACCTCCCTCCTGCTCCATCAGGGCTGGGAGCACAGCCTGGGTGTGTGGCTAATGAGCTCCACCTGGGATATGCCCCCAGCCTCAGGATGTCCCCTTCCTTTATAGCAAGCTGCAGGCAGTGGGTGGGGCAGCTTAAGGCTGAAGCTCCAGCTTCATTTTATCTTCTCCATTTATCTGAACATTGTCATTTGCTACTTCTCCGTGCCAGGCCCAGTGCCAGGCTCTAGGATAGAGGAACAAGCTGGTCCCAGCCGTCCAGTTGCTCACCGGCTGGTGGGAGACAGACCACTAGATGGCCATTACAGTTCAGGATGCAGTGAAGAAAGAAGGACATGGTGGTCAGGACACAGAGAGGCCAAGCGCAGCCTGGAGGGGCCAGGGAAAGTGTTGGGCGGGAGGGGAGTACAGGAGGTCAGATGCTTAACAAATAAGCAGCATCTCCTGGCTGCAGGCCTGGGCAGAACATGCCTGCCCCAGTGCTCCCCTGGCCCCCAGGGGCGGGTGGTCCTCCCCAGCCCCCTGTGAGTCCATTTCTCAATACTTCCCTTGTTCTTCAGGAGGTGCCCTGCTCACATGCTCTTCCGCAGGGTCTCTGGCCCGAGCAGGTCATCATAGTGCGGGGGCTGGTCTTGCAGGAGCCGAAGCAGTAAGTATCCAGCATCAAAGAGGAGGCGTGGGAGCAGCCCCTCTGTGCCAGGCACATGCTCTATAAAGCATCATCTCTTTCAATCCCCCAGCACCGCCATTTAATCCCCATTTTACAGTTGAGGAAACAGAAGCAGAACGATGTGGCCCAAGGTGGCAGAGCTTGTGAAGGTCAGGCTGGGACTGGGATCAACAGTCCCACTGCTGGGAGCATCATTCCTGCTGGTACATCTAATCAGGCCTAGCCTCTTGTCCCAGGTCCTAGGAAAGGGGCCCCAGGAAAGGTCCAGGTGCAGGCTGAGGCCCAGAGCAAAGACGTAGCTTCCCATGGTAATGCAAGGTGTGCTTCAGAAGACACAGCCAGACTGCCCCAGAGAGGAGGCCTGCTATTTGGAAGCCAGGACTTGGAGGGACACAGTGACTAAGTGGACACTACCAAATTTCTACATGATGCGTTCAAACCCAGACCTGTGGCTCCAGTCCAGTTAGAGGAGGGCCACTTGTTGTGAACTGAACGCGAGCCTTGGAATCTCGTCCAGCAAGAGGGTCCCAAACCTGGAAGAGAGCATGTGTGGGAAAAAAGGAGAAAGAAACGAGTGGGGTCTGGAGGACTGGACGGGCTATGCCCACGCAATTTTATTTTGCAGTAGGTTCCATTATATACTTTTCTACTTAATGTTGTTTACATCAGATCAAAGCATTTCTCAAATAACAAAAGAAACAGAAAACAATTCTGGGGAACTAGTAAAAGGAACAGATACTGAAGTTAAGTCACAAGGTAAGTAAGTTACGCCCAGTAAGTAAGTTATGCCCAGTAAATACTTAACAATTGTAAATACTGAAGTGAATATTTTACAACTAATGTAGCAAGGATCCAAAAATGAACACAATGAAGGAATAAACCATAACGAACCGAAAGTGGACACAATGCCTCCCAAGTCCTCATATCCATAAAGTAATGTCTGTTAATTATTTTGAATTGCATAGTCCCTCTCTCGGTTCCTGCTTTCCCTCAGCTCGACTCCCCCAACCGGGGATCTGTGTCTGGGCTCAAGCTCACCGTATGGCGAGGCCCATTTCCTAGGGGCCTCACATGGGAGTGTTCCCCACAGCCACTGGCCTGCCTGCCTTGAGGAAACGCATTAGAGTTTATGACTTCTCTGGGCCAGATTGCCTGGGTTGGCATGTGCTGAGGACACCTGCTACCTGTGGAACCTTAGGGCAGATACTTTTCCTCTCTGTGCCTCTGTTTCCCTCTCTGTAAGAAGGGGAGGATAATAATGCCGACTTTAGGGGTGGTGCTTCGAATAGTACCTGGCATGTAGTTAGTGCTCCACAAATGTGGATGCTGTTGCAATCATCTCAGTGGGGGCGGGGAAGGCAGAGCAAGGGAAGCACCCTGTGTTCTCCTTTCTTAATTTTGTTTTTACTTTTTAAGTTACTGACCTCACTAAACCCTTGCCCTCCACACTCCCGATCATACCTGTGAATTCTGGGGCAGGCATGAAGCCCGATGGCCTGGGCCTCCAAAGACAGGCACAATGAATTGGATTCCTGGTTTTATCTCTTATAAATGCTGCAGTCATGGGCCAGTCACTAAACCTCTCTAAGTCTGAATTTCCCTACTGGAAAAAGGAGAATAAAAATTCCAACCTGATAGGGAAAATGAAAAGGTGCTCAATGATAAAACACTTCTTCCCACAAAACTTGGAGGCATGAGACCAGGTTCTCATCATAGCTCAGAGTCACAAGGTTACTAGTGACGTGGTGAGCGAGTAACTGCTCCTTCCCAAGGGCGGTGAATGCATGTGTCCTTGGAAGCCAGGCAGGTCTCTGAGGCAAATCGTGAGCTCAAGATGGATTAAAGATTCAAACATAAGACCTAAAACCCTAAAAACCCTGGATGAAAACCTAGGCAATACCATTCAGGACATAGGCATGGGCAAGGACTTCATGAGTAAAACAGCAAAAGCACTGACAACAAAAGCCAAAATAGGCAAATGGGATCTAATTAAACTCCAGAGCTTCTGCACAGCGAAAGAAACTTTCATTAGAGTGAACTGGCAACCAACAGAATGGGAAAACATTTTTGCAATCCACCCATCTGACAAAGGGCTGATATCCAGAATCTACAAAGAACCTAAACAAACTTACAAGAGAAAAAACAACCCCATCCAAAAGTGGGCGAAGGATATGAACAAACACTTGTGATTTTATTTAAAGAGAAAATAGAAGCCATCTTTTATACAAACTCTCTCCATTTTTGAATGTTGTATTAAAGTTGAAGAATACGACGGACCAATTAAAACATTCCTATACGCCAGTTCAGCTGAGACCCACCAACGTGAAGACCTAGCACAGCACCTGGTACTTAGTGAGGTTGCCACGGCTGCTGCTGCTGCTGCTCTTCTGTGAAAGCAACTGAGGACTTGCATGGGACAGAGGGAGCAACAGTTGGAGGGCACAGGATTCATTTGCAGGGAAAATCTATCCCTGTTTCTTCACCTCATCCCTTCCCTCCTCCTCATTGAGTAGGAGTGTGTGACCGCAGCCTCAAAGAGCCTCAGCAGAGCTTCACTGGGTATCTAGTGCTTGATCTGTGATTATTCAGTGAGCTGGTGGGCTGAGCTGGATGAACGTGAGGTAGGGAGACACTGAGGCCTCCTCACCAAGAGTTCTCAGGCCAGTGGGAAGACCAAGCCTTGTCTGGCAGGATGGAGTAGGGGGAAGCCGTAGTGGGGCTGGAGGCTCCACACCGTCCACTCTCAGCGTTCCTGCCCTCCAAGCTTCTTCCCAACACTGAGCCCTTGCCGTCTCCTTCCCGAAACGTATGAAACTTATGGGGCCACCTCCTGTGAGGATCCGCCGACAGTCCCTGAAAGGCCTGCCCAGGGTGGCCTTTTCCCCCACCTCACCCGCCCTCTGCATACCGTCAAGACGCAGCCTTCTCCAGTGTAGTGCTTCAAAGAAGGGGACTTTGAGAGTTCCCAGGACATAAAGAGTAATCTGGTTGCCCTATTTGAGAGGCAGGTGCCAGATCCCACCACCCCCAGATCTGGAGTCAGGAATCCTAGTTCACATCTTAACCTGAGGCCCCACAACTCTTACCAGTAACAAAGAAGTCATTTAACCTTTTGTCCCCATCACTTAAATGGGCTGACAAACCTCACAGCACAGAATTTGTGAGGGTTGAGGAAAGGCAAGCTAGTGTCTGTAAAACACCTAACTTCTGTAAAACACCTACTGTGTGCTAGGAATCGCTAGTTTTCACATATGTTATTTTCTTTTTTTGTGGCTCTACGAGGTAGAGATTGTATTATATAGTAATATTTTTAATCAATAGATATCATCTGAATGCTTATTACATAATCAGGTGCTGTTCTAAATAAGCATTTCTTATGTATTCATTTCATTCTTACGACAGTGCCACAGGCAGGTACAGTGCAATTATGTTATCCCTGCATTATGGATGAGGAAACTGAGGCACAGAGAGATGAAGGGTCTTGCCCAAGGTCACAGGACTAGATAGTAGCAGAGCCAGGGTTCAGCCTGGGCTGCCTGACTCTAACCAACGTTTAAGACAATGTCTGGCACTGAGTCGGCATTCAATAAATGTTAGCCGTGGCTATCACCATCATGATCATCCCCGCCCTCAGGAGGAGAAACTGAGGCCCAGAGTAGGCAATTTTCACACACTTCTCTCCCACCCCCATCCTCCTGTAGTCAGTAGATGGCAACCCTGGCAGTCAATCTCAATTTCATGCAGAGTTCGTGTTCTTTCCACTGTTCAGAGCACCCAGCAGTGCTTGTTTCTGGAGGCCGAAGCCACTCAATCTTCCATCCTCTCCCCTACCTCCTTCCTTCCCCTGGAGGCTGAGCAGCGGCCTGCGGCCAACAGGCACTGATCCCTTCTCCTTCCTCCTGATCCTGCAGTTTCACGCTGAGCCTGAGGGACCAGGCTGCCCGTGCTCCTGTGACACTCAGGGCTTCCTTCACAGAGAGAACTCTGGCCTGGATCTCCCCCTGGGGACGGAAGAAGCTGATCTCAGCCCCCTTCCTCTTTTACCCCCAGAGATTCTTTGAGGTGAGTCAGAGCCAAGAGGCCACATCCCTTCAGGCTGGAGCACAGAGCTGACCTCCCATAATGACCTGGGAGACTCTGTTGCGGGTGTGCAGGGCAGATGTTACAGGGTGGGAGACCAGAGCCAGCAGAGCACCGCAAACATCTATACCAAAGTCCTCTACCCTCCACTCTGATGCCAGGGAGCCCATGGCCAGAAACTCAAATTAATTGATGCCCAATTAGGTGGAGGCCCAAGCATCAGCTTTATTAAAAAGATCCCCTAGGGCCAGGTGCAGCGGCTCATGCCTGTAATCCCAGCACTTTGGGTGGCCGAGGCAGGCAGATCATGAGGTCAGGAGTTCGAGGGCAGCCTGGCCAAATTAGTGAAACGCTGTCTCTACTAAAAATATAAAAAATTAGCCAGGCATGGTGGTGGGCACCTGTAATCCTAGCTGCTTGGGAGGCTAAGGCAGGAAAGTTGCTTGAACCTGGGAGGTGGAGGTTGCAGTGAGCCCAGATTGCACCATTGCACTCCAGCCCTGCAACAGTGTGAGACTCCATCGGAATAAAAAAAAGCTTTCCTAATGATTCCAGCATGCAGAACCTCTCCTCTATAGGGAGCAGCCCCAGTTACAGGTGGAGAAACTGAGGCCCAGGGCTGGGAAGATCCTTGTCAAAGGCTGCAGTGGGTTGGTGACAAGCAGGGCCCCTTGTCTGTTCTTTTCTAGCACTGCACTGGGTGCCCCCTGGGTCCAGTCTTTGCATCCTCTGAGAGGAGGAGGGTCTTGCTGGGGAGAGCATCAGGCAGACAGGGAGAGTCTGGCTGGAAGCTGCCACCCATCATGTCCTCCTTTCCCAGGTGCTGCTCCTGTGCCAGGAGGGAGGGCTGAAGCTGGCACTCAATGGGCAGGGGCTGGGGGCCACCAGCGTGAACCAGCAGGCCCTGGAGCAGCTGCGGGAGGTCCGGATCAGTGGAAGTGTCCAGCTCTACTGTGTCCACTCCTGAGGACAGTTCCAGGGAAACCTTGCCAGAAAATAGCAAAGTCAGCCCACACCAGGGCCCCACTCTCCTCCCCTCATTAAAATATCCACCTGACACCACCACATTAGCCCTGGTTCACTTCCAGGGTCTCGAGCCTGAGTCTGCAGGAGCTTTGGGCCTGAGGGATGGCACGAGGGTACAAAGGTTCCTCCGACTCTGCACCTTTCTCCACCAGGAGCCTGGGATTTGGCTCCATCTGCCTTCAGGGCCTGAAGTGCACTCACGGAGGTGGATTTTGTAGACTAACAAAGATACTCCAAAATACAGTGGCTTAAAGAATGTGGTCATTTATTCTTTACTTATTTGTGGTCAAATAACTAAATGGGGTCATTTATTTATTCCATTCTCATCTAGCAATTCTAGAGAAAATGGTTCAGGTTAGTGGAGCAGCTCCGCTCCCGGAGATATTCAGGGTCTGTCCTAGCCATTGTTCCACCACGCCAGGGCATCATCACGGTCTGCGTGGCCGAAGCTCGGCTGCCACCCTATCTTGGTCTCCGCCACTGAGAAGGCTAATGGAGGCTGAGGGTAAGACCCACCTGATCTCACAAGCCCCAGGCTGGGGTCTGACACACACCAGCTACAGTCACATTTCATCTAAAGGGACTTGGTCTCGGCCACACTACCTGCAAGGAAGGCTGGAAATGGCCTCCAGTGGGATACCCATATGACTGGCCACATAAAATAGAATAGTTGGCCAAGCACGGTGGCTCATGCTTGTAATCCCAGCACTTTGGGAGGCCAAGGTGGGCAGATCACGAGGTTAGGAGACTGAGACCATCCTAACACGGTGAAACCCTGTCTCTAACTAAAAATACAAAAAAGTAGCCAGGCATGGTGGCGAGCACCTGTGGTCCTATCTATTCAAGAGGCTAAGGCAGGAGAATTTCTTGAACCTGGGAGACAGAGGTTGCTGTGAGCTGAGATCATGCCACTGCACTCCAGCCTGGCCGACAGAGCGAGACTCTGTCTCAGAAAAAAAGAATAGTCACACACAAAAAAAACAGAATAGTTTTATTCTATTACTATAAAAAAACAGGGAGAATGGATTTGAACAAAAAAAATATGGCACGCTTATTAAACTTGCAGGACGCCTCGGGCCAGCTTGGTTTTATTCTAGATTTCACTGTTGTCCCAGCCTACTTCTTCCATCCCACTTACACCAACATTCAAGTTCTTGCCTTCTCTGGCAGCCAGACAGATGGGAGAGGCAGGCGTGTCCTTCCTTGTCAGGAGTTCTTTGATGTGAAAGGGGCAGCAGAGTCATTTATACTTCAGACAACCTCTTTGCATCTTACAAAGTTAAACAGCTAAAAGAAGTGAAATAGGGAGGCAGTGCTTGTGGAATATACAGTGCACATTGGCAGCACATGCCTCGGCACGATTCCCCTACTTCTCCTGTTCAATCCTTTCTTTGCAAGGCAGTGGATTTCTCTCTTGCGCTTCTGTCTTCCTCAGTTTCGACTTACATCTTCGCCTGCTTCCATCCATGTAAGACTTGACTTGTTCCTCCTTGCCTTCCACCAGGCTTGTGAGGCTTCTCCAGCCACGTGAAACTGTAAGTCAAATTAATCTCTTTATTTTGTAAATTGCCTAGTGTCAGGTATGCCTTTATAAGCAGCGTCAAAATGGACTAATACAGGACTTTAGCATTACAACGGCATGTTAATGATATAAAGGCAACAAGGGGTCGCCAGCTCTGGTTTGCTGGGGTCTTGCTCTGACCATATCTTCCTCTGGTAATTGCTAACAAGCCCTGAGGCTCCCGTGGCCTCCCAGGCCATCTGACGTTCTTTTAAGCAAACAGACCTATAGATAAAATGACTAAAAATTCCTGTTTAAGAAAATACAATGAGCTTTCTTAGTTATCTACTGTTTGAGAAAATAATGAACTTTCTCAGCTATGTCTCCAGGGCTGCCCTGGTAGCATAAGATGTGTGTGTGTTTGTTTTTACCAAGGCCTTGGATGACTTTCGTTAGATTTATACTCAGGCACTTTCTAGTTTTTTGTGCTATTCATAAATGCTATCTTTTAAAAAATTCTACTTACTTGATACTGGTACAAAAATGCACCTGGTTTGTGTATTAATCTTGTTCCTAGCAAAGTTGCTAAATTCTTTCATTAGTTCAGATAGAAAATCTTGTCCTGGCACAGTGGCTCACACCTGTAACCCCAGCACTTGGGGATGCCGAGGCAGGTGAACCACTTGAGTCCGAGTTTGAGACCAGCCTGGCCAACATGGCAAAACTCTGTCTCTACTAAAGCTACAAAAAATTAGCTGGGCATGGTGTCACACACCTGTAACCCCAGCTACTCAGGAGGCTGAGGCACAAGAATCAGTTGAACCCAGGAGGCAGAGGTTGCAGTGAGCTGAGATGGCGCCAATGCACTCCAAGCTGGGCAACAGAGCGAGACTCTGTCTCAATAAATAAATAGACAGACAGGCAGGCAATCTTACCACTTGCAAAAAATAATGATTTCTGATTTTTTCCTTTCCAGTCTCCCTCTCCTTCTCTCACTCTTCCCCTGACTCCCAACAACATTCCCTCCCTTCCTTCCTCTGTCCCTGATGCTTCCTTTATTATTTTACATTGGTCGAGACTTCCTGCACACTGTGAGTAGCAGTGCTGTGAGCGGCATCCTTGACCTGTCCTGACATTAGGGAAATGCCACTAAGATTTCACTATTAAATATGATGATTGTCGTACGTTGGGATTAGATACTACTTTTAGGGTAAGATTTTTGTTTTTTCTTAGTTTGCTAAGAGATTTTTTTGGTTTTTTTTCATGAATCAGTGTCAAGTCTGTCTTCTGCTTTTATTAATACGATCATATTTTTTCTGTTAATGAGGTTAATTACATTAATAGGCTCTCTAATGTCATACTATAAGTATCTTTAAATTCCTAGAGTAAATGAATTTTTAATGAATATATATTACAACATTTCATTTACTGATATTACTATTTTTGCGTTATGTTCATAAATTGGCTTATAATTTTACTTACCATCCATCGATAGCCTTAGTTCTAGATTGTTTCTTTTCTGTGCAAGGTCATGGGTTGTTTTATATGTCCTCTAGGTCTTTATTTAATCCACAGATTCCATCACCCTCTCTTCTTTTCTTATATTTTATTATTGAGGATAAAACTGATAACTTTTTCTTACAGAGCTTCCCAGAATCTGAATTCTGCTGCTAGTCCCTAGGGCATTGTTTAAAATATTCCATTGTCTCCTGTACTTCTTTTTGTCTATAGTTTTGATCAGATTAGTTTCAATTTTTCAGCAAGAAAACTAAAACTATTATCTTATTCTCTAAACATTTCTTTTTAAACTTTATTTTATTTATATGTATTTTCTTGAGAGAGTCTCACTCTGTCACCCAGGCTAGGGCACAGTGGCACAATCTCTACTCACTGCAGCCTCCACCTCCCAGGTCCAAGTGATTCTCATGCCCCAGCCTCCTGAGTAGCTGTAATTACAGATGTGCTCCACCACACCTGGCTAATTTTTGGCTTTTTTCGTAGATGAGGTATTGCTATGTTGGCCAGGCTGATCTCAAACTCTTGGCCTCAAGTGATCCACCTGCCTCAGCCTCCCAAAGTGCTAGGATTACCATCATGAGTCATGCTAAGTATTTCTTTTTTATAGCCTCCTGTTCTTGTTTCATGAATATATTTTCTCTTATCTCTTCCATGATATAAATGATGCTTTTGTAAATTTTCTTCTGCTTGCCATATTTGCTTTGTTTTCTTGAAGCTTATTTGTTAATTATTTGTGTATTTTGCTATCTTTCAAATTAGAGGATTTCCTCAAATGTCTGACAATCCTTAGTTGTTTGAGGGTTTTTTTGTTGTTGTTATTGTTGTTGTTTATTTCTTTGTTTGTTTGGTTCTGAGATGGAGTTTTGCACTGTCCCCCAGGCTGGAGTGCAGTGATGTGATCTCATGTTGTATCGGACTGAGCACGGAAAGTCAACACCAAGACAAAAGTATGCCAAATTGCAGGGTTTATTGCCGGCGACCACGGAGGACTCACGTCTCTCCAACCCATGGCCCCATAAAAGAGGGTGACAAGACCTTTTATACCTGTAAAATCACTTTGGGGGTGAGGGGGAGAGGATGGGGTGAGGGGCTTCAGACATTCCAAGGGCCAGTGGATTCAAATCACCTTCTGGGAGGAGATGAGGGGGGGTTCCGGACATTTTGAGGGTCAGGGGACTATTTGACATTCTGATTGTCATTTAAGGGGTTCACAGATGCTAAGATTAGCATTCGATTACACATCGTCTGGGTAGGGGTGGGATCCATAATTTTTATTTACTTGGTGCCAGGATGGAATTATCTGGGGGTGCTTGCTCTGGTAAACAAAGGCCAGCAATTCTGGTAGTTACAGATAAGAGAAGGTATGCAGCTTTACCTCAATTTGCATTTTGCAAGGTAAATTAGCAGTTTACAGAAGCCAAGGTTAGCAGTCATTGTGAGGAGAATGGAAACAGTTTTGTCCTTTATAAAATGGCATTGTACAGGTTCTAACTCTAGGCCAGCTATATCACACTCATCTCACTCCAACCTCTGCCTCCTAGGTTTAGGCAAATCTCTTGCTTCAGCCTCCTGAGTAGCTGGGAATACAGGCATGCGCCATCAAGCCAGGCTAATTTTTGTATTTTTGGTAGAGAAGGCATTTCACCATGTTGACCAAATTGGTCTTGAACTCCTGACCTCAGGTGATCCACCTGCTTCAGCCTCCCAAAGTGCTGGGATTACAGGTACAGAGCCACTGCACCCGGCCAAGTAGTTGGCTTATATTCAAGAGTGAGGCACTAAAATCCTAATTGGAAGCTTTAGGTGCATGGTACATGGGTTGGGCTTATTGATTTATATGCCTCCTCACAATGAAACAAATCAATGGTCAATGGTCTTGTTGCCTAAAGTGTCATCCGAGTTTATTGTCTCATGACCGAGAAAGTTAAGGAACATGGATGCAAAGGGCGAGGTTGGACTGAAAGTTTAATAAGCAAAAGGAGAAAGCTCTCCATAATGGAGAGCCTGAGCTTATAACAAAAGCTCTTATAGAAATTCCTCTCATTTCTGTAGCTGTTTGAGTAACTTCTCTTAACTGTAAAGCTATCTGTGTAACTCCCCTTATCTATGCAGCTGTGGGCATGTCCCTAGGCAAGCCCAAAGCACAGCTTCTCTTGTTTGTGTAACTGTGGGTCTGTTTTAGGTAAGCCCCCCTCCCCTTCCCATGAAAGATCCTATGGAGCCCTCGTGTACATGTC